AATAACTATATTTAAACCCCTTATGTGGTACCCTTCTGGGGGGTAGAGACCACTTAGTATGAACACCCATCTATGGAAATGTTATAATGGAATTCCTTACTTTCTATAAGTAGTATGTGTTAATTAAAACTAAAAATAGATACCATAAAGTCATTGTCTGCTATTTCCAAAATGTTGGTCATTGTGAATATATGTTCTGGTGGTTTGAATGAGAAATGTCCCCCATAGGCTTGGGCACTTGGTCAGTTGGTGGTGCTGTTAGGGAAGGTCATGGAACCTTCAGAGGTGGAGCCTTGCTGGAGGACGCACATCACTCGGGGAGGGCTTTGGGAGTCCATAGCTGTGCCCTTTTGCAGTTCATGGAATCTCTCCTTTGTGTTTCAGGTGGGAGATATGAGCGCTCAGCTTTCTGCTCTGCCTGCCCCTTGCCTGCTCTGCTTGCCCCTCCCTGCCGTTTTGGACGCCTACCCTTCTGGAACTGTAAGCCAAGTAAACTCTTTCTTCTAGAAGTTGCCTTGGTCATGGTGTATTATCACAGCACAGAATTTTCTCCTTGTTATTGTTAGTTTGCATTTTCTACTACCTCGCCTCTATGTTTGTGTATTCTAAACCCTCTATATAGGGCTGCCAAGATGGCACAGCAGGTAAAAGTGCTAGCCATGCAAACGGATGGCCTGAGCTCATTCTTTGGACCCCATGGAGAAAGGAGAGGACCGACTGCCACAAGTTGCCCTTAGACCTCCACATGTGCATCATGGTATGCGAGTGCCATGCTCAGACACTCACACAATAATAGTAAATGTTAAGTAAAAAATAATAGTGAACAAAGATATTTTTTTGGATTTTATTTTGTTAATTTCTCTGTCTTCTGGTTCAGTGAGGATTTCAATTAACCTAGGGTTGGGTCACTAGAACGGTGTTTGCTAGAGTTTCAGTGTTGTTCTGTCGTTTATTGTTTGCAGTAATTTTTGTTTTGCGTGGTTTGGTTTGGTTTTGTTTGGCTTGGCTTGGCCTGGCTTTACTTCCTGGAGTAGCTTGAATTGTAGTTACCATGAAGAAGTGAAGTGATGCATTTTTCCTCTACCCGCCAGTCTTCTTTCCCTTTCTCAACAACACTTGGAGATGGTCTGAGATTCTGGGAGAAGGATTCCGGCTAAGCAACTGGTCCTTTCATCCACAGTCCCACCATCTTACACTGGTGTCCAACATTCAACTGGTTTCCCCTCTAAGGCAGGCCTTATTTCTGTCTGGGATTTGGTTCACCAGGGCTTTCTTTTTCACACAGAACAGTAACAAAACAAGAGAGGTCCTGCCTCAAACAAGGTGGAAGGCAAGGACCAACACTCAGTGCCGTCCTAAGACCTTCACATGTGCCCCAAGTTCCAGGTTGGATCCCATGGATCCATTTCAGAGTTCATTCCAAAAGCCCTAAGGCTACAGATCCAGAACCAAAGCTGC